GTCGAGGTCTGGCTAACAGCAGCAGCAACGGCAGCATTACAGCACCTCGATCGGTGGCAGTTCTCGGTGCTCCCTTTTGGAATGGTCAGCCCAAATCGGGCACTGAGCTGGCGCCAGATGCACTGAGAGCCAATGGTNAATCTGCACTTGGGGCTAAATGCTGATAACTTTGACAATCTTCCCAAAAGCTGGCCAAGTGGCAACCACAACAAGAATGCCTATCTAATTGCGCAGATGGTCAAGCGACTCAGCACCTCTGTGGCCAGCCTCATCGACAGGGAGTACCTGCCAATGGTGCTCGGTGGAGATCACAGCATCGCCGTCGGCTCGGTCCTGGGCACATGTTCAGCCAAACGACTTCAGGGAGAAGAGATTTCACTGTTGTGGATCGACGCTCATGCCGATGCAAACACCGAGGACTCCTCTAAGTCGGGCAACTACCACGGAATGCCGGTCACATTTCTGCTGAAGGAAGTGCTTCGGCCTGGCAGTTCACTTTTTGCCAATTTGCCACCAGCACGACTGTCGGCGCGTAATGTCGCCTTCATTGGACTGCGAGATGTAGAGCTGCAAGAGCTGCAGTTGCTGCAGAAGATGAATCTCACGTACTTTTCTATGGAGCACGTTGACCGATTAGGTAAGTGAAGTGCACATTTGTTAAACACTGGTTTTTTACATCAGCTACTTCTTTCGTTTAGGTATCGCCGAAGTAGTGGCGCGAGCTTTGGATGCCATTAACCCCAGTGGAAAGAACCCACTTCACGTCAGCTTTGACGTTGATTCAGTGGACGACGCCTCCATAGTGTCGACTGGAACGCCAGTCATCGGAGGGCTGACCGTTCGAGAGGCAATGACCATCGGCAGAATACTCGATCAGACGTCGAAAATGGTGGCACTAGATGTGGTGGAATTTAATCCAAAGTTGGGCACGCCAGCAGAGGGGTCCCGTTCAGCCAAATACATTACTGACATTGTGCTCTCCTTTTTCGGCAAATCTCGTGCCGGATACTTTCATCANCTTCACGTCAGCTTTGACGTTGATTCAGTGGACGACGCCTCCATAGTGTCCACTGGAACGCCAGTCATCGGAGGGCTGACCGTTCGAGAGGCAATGACCATCGGCAGAATACTCGATCAGACGGCGAAAATGGTGGCACTAGATGTGGTGGAATTTAATCCAAAGCTGGGCACGCCAGCAGAGGTGTCCCGTTCAGCCAAATACATTACTGACATTGTGCTCTCCTTTTTCGGCAAATCTCGTGCCGGATACTTTCATCACAGTAAAGAGCAGAAGTAAAAGTTTGCAATTTTATTTTAAAAACAATTCTTTGTACATTGGAAACCAAAAAACTGGGTGACCATAACTGATCGTTAAAGTACGAATAAACAAAATCTCTGCCACTTTCACTCATCATAAACGCTCCCAATCCTAGTTCAAAACACCAGAACATTTTTGCAGCCAACTTGAGCACTGTCTCTTTCACAATTGTCTCTTCATATTCTCCTCGGCAAAGAAAAACATTCACAACATCAACGCGCGTTGTTCTCTTCTTTCACTGTCTGGTGACGCACGCTAATTGCTCCAGAGCAGAGTATATCTGCTCCTCTGGTGAAGGAACTTCAAATCCAAATCATCCCACTTTGTTGTGATTGGTTGCCTCTGTCACTGCGACGCAGCAGTTCACATTACTACTGTCCCGTTCAGCAGATCACTATGTGAAAGTTGTCATAACATTCCTCTTCGACCAGTCATCATTAGCATCTACTACCGCCGGGCACTTGCGTAAGCGTCTCTTCTTCCCCCTCCCTTCCTTTCCCCCTCCAATCTACAGTTCTCGAAAGCATCACAAGCTACAATTGCTATTGTACGATTTTTTTCCATCGAGACAGTCGGTAGTTGAACACCAGCAGAAAAGTGTTACCGTCGTCATTATCGTCGCCACTTTTTGCCAGTGCGTAGTTTACCAGCCAGCTTTTGCCAGCAATGGATCTTAAGACTCGAGATAAGCTCAGCGCAGTTCTTGCTTCTTATTTCAACGCTACAAAAGTAAGCAATCTGTGCTGGCCGGCCAAAATCAATGATCCTCGTGAAGCGTTGGAGTACCTTGAATCGAGTGATGAAATCAGCCTAAATAACATCTGGAACAATATTAACACCAATCTGGCCGACCATCGAAGCAAGGACGCCAAGAATGCCACCATCAGCAGAATTGCTGCTCTCAAAGCCGATGCGATTTTTCAAGAGCTAATTCAGAAACGAAACATTGAAGATGACAATGATCTCCAAGAGAAGTTCAAAGAGGCATTAAAGTTAGTTGATCAGGCTATCGTCTACTGTCCAGTGTCGCCTACTTCTCTTCTAGCAAAAAAGTTCACCCTTCGAGCTAAACTACTGCGCTGGTCCGACCGGCCAGAGTTGGCTCTGAGTGCCATCAAGCGAGCACGTTTCCTGACGCCCTCTTCTGAGACCATCTTGGAGGAGCTTCTTCTCATAAAGGAGATCTGCGGTCAGGCTGAATCATCGAATGACTCTTCTTCTATGTCGTCTTCTTCTTCTTCGTTGCCTTCTACTTCTTCTTTTTCTGAATCTAATGAGCAGGTGCTACAGACGACTATGGCACAAATGCCGCAAAACTTCATCCTCGACAGTCGTGTTCAGATGAGCGGCACGCCCGGAGTCGGCAAGGGTCGCTCCTTTGCAGCCACCAGCACCATCCCTGCAAAGACGACCATCCTCCTGGAGAAGGCCTACTCGCTAACCATTTGGCCAAAATCCGCCACCGTCCTCTGCGCCTTTTGCTACGACAATGTCGCCAATCGATTTGTGCCCTGCAAGGGCTGCACCACCGCCGTCTACTGCTCAGCTGCCTGTGCTCGGGCCCACAACTCGCCGCACTCTGGGGGCCACCAGTTTAGCTGCGGCCTAAGCAAACTGGTCAGCTGCCGCAACAAGGACATCGACATCATCTTTAACATCTTCAATCGAGTTGGCGTTCAGACGGTGCTGAAGGTGATTGAGCAGAGTCAGGAGTGGAAGCAGGTTCAGTTTGGAGGCGACAAGGAGGTCGGCCAGATTGGTTACGATGTGTTCGCCTACTCCAGTGACCCTCATCAGCGCTCGCCAGCAGTTGAGGTGGCCAATAACGAGAAGCTGCGAGGACAGCAGTTCCAGGCGCAGATGACGCTGTACAGTCACTCGGAGAAGCACAAGATGAAGGACTTCGGGGGTGACATGATCAACGCCATTGAGTGCGCCATCATCACCTGCATTGCCCAGGGATTCAGTATGTTCTTTTGTTTGTTATTTGTTGTTTGCCGCTAAATTTACCTTTTTTACATCATCACTTTTGCACAGATTTCAAGCAGATGTACAAGGAAGATCAGCTGCTTAAACTGATCGCCCACTGCTTTGTCGCCATTCGCCGCATTCGCACTAACTCTTTCGCTTGGGACACTAGCTGCAAAC